TGTTTTAGTTCAATCACATTATATGGCGAAGAAAAAGAATGTTTCCATATGCGTGATTTTCTAATTAGTTAGTAAAAATAGAATGATAGATTCATTGTTAATTATAACATATTATACTACGCACGTGGGGGAAAAGTATTTTTCTAGGGAAAATACCACAGAATTTTCGTCCATTTTAATAGCCCGCGTCAGCGGATAGAACCTGAAAAGGCGCGTCGAATGCGTATCTTGTTGTCTTTTGTTGATATGATTTTATGGGGGAAAACTGGTTTACAGAAACGCCCTGCTTTTCGAAAAAACGAGATTTTTAAATATTCTCCTGAGAACATGGTTAACATTTCGGAACTTTTTATCTGCTAGTGATTTTGTAGCTCTGCACATATAGAAGCTAATCTGACGGTACCAGCTCATGAAAGTGTTTCACTAAAAAATGGTGAAAATGCCCACAAAAGGACGGTTCTGCTGGGAAATGGGATTTTCACAGGTCTAGAAGGCCACCATGCCATTGTTTTAAAATTTTTTAAACGTGATATTCGTCACCCGGAGGCCGAGTTGTACTAGTCCTGTTACTCTCGAACAATTCGGACAAAGTCGATGTAAACTCTGGTACGCTTTCAAAAGAATCACCCTTAAGTAAGAAAGTTAAGTACATGAAACGGAAAAATATGCAAGGTAGATAAGTACGATTTATGCCAAAGTCTTGAGAATCTTATTCAGGATAATCATGCAGAAAAAAAGACGTCACTACGCTAACTAACGGCAAATTATTCTCAACTGTTTTATTTCGAGTTAAATGATCCTAACAACAACTTGCTGTACAAACGTGGTGGTAAATTTAAAGTGGAAAATTAGAAATAGAAAATAGAAAACATTTAATGGTTTTTTTCAACGTTGTTTGAAACTATCTACGTACGTTCCTCATATAACCAGAGATCCCAGATTCTCTGATTTTAGCAGAAAAATTCTGATTTTGGGACTTTTTTTCTGCCTCGCGTCTGATTTTCTGATTTTTTCTGATTTTAGAATGTTTGTTTGATATTGAACGAAAATTTGATTTATAGTTTTTTTTCTAAAAAAAGAGAATGGGTATGAGAAGAAACAACTTCCTGATTATTTTTCTAATTTTGAATTTGTTTTTCTGACTTTTAGCTGATTTTGAACTTTTTTTTTCTGATTTCCGTCTTTTAGATCTGGGATCCCTGCATATAACTGTTTTGGCAAGTTCTTCAAGTGGAAGAAAATCATTAATTAGAATATAACATCGGTCACAGCACACATCCGTGTTTTCGATTGCAGTGAACTTGTGCCGCAATATGATTGCATTGTGTCACACAATGCGGACGAATTGCGGCCACAACACTACAAGCACATTGTCACTTGCGCCACAGTGCATCACAAGTATTAAAAAAATTGACGATATGGAACAGCCATTAAACAGCCTTAATTTTATGGGCCCAATTATAAAATCTAGACTGCGTAAGATCTTGAAATAAACATGCACCAGAAAAAAAATTGTTTCTAGGATGATTACCTTAAATTTTATGAACATCCATCAGAGGGAAAGGGTCACAATAAGTGAGAACGCATTCATACTTATAAAAGCAGATTCAAAACTTTTGTTTTAAAAAGCTTAATAAAATTTCTTCTCTAAGACATGAGAAATAGAACGTCATTAAGCATAACATGTGGAAAAAATTTGTTCCTAAAAAACTGCTTTCTAGATACGATATTTATTAAAACATAAAAGAAAGGAATTTACAACATTTTATCAGTTTCACATTTGTTTTGTAAATGTCGTGTATGTTTTGGTGACAATGCAATAACTACACTTGTTTCACTTTTTCCTCTAATCGATAAAGACTCTCTACTTTCAAATTTTGTGGTATAGCCACTGTCAGCTGGTGTCATGAGACTCGATTGCGTTTCCGTTGGACTTGATGAAAGAAATGTAGACTCTTTTTTAACCCATTTATCGGAACTATTATCGGGATTATTGTCAAAAGAATCATTGAACTCATCTTTCGGACTACACGAACTATCGGTAGTACCAAACTTTTGTCGAGCTAACGTGTCTAATACTTCGATAAAATCTTTCAAATTCGCACATTCCTCTCTGTCATTTTCTTGTTCTTCACTTTTCAAATCTTGTTTTGTGTTATATTTGGATTTTATTGTCCGTTGTACTCCGGTGGCTCTCATTGGTGATTGATGATATTTTACAGGTTCGTATCGTGCCGTACTTCGTTTTAAGGATAAGGAAGCATATTGACCACTAACTAATGATGAATTGTCACCAATTGTTTTATTTCGAGGACGACGATTAGAACGAAAATGAGGACTCGCTTCTGAATCACTAATATGAGAAGTGGATAATTTTCTTCCAGAACATCTGATAGAACGAGGTGTATCCACGTATGACAAGCCTGTTGTAGCCGAATAAATTGAACGTGAACTATTCATTATCGATGATCGTTGTAATGAACAAGAAGGCGAAGTAGTTGAGATTACTGTTGGTCTGGATAATATGGGTGTCGATGTCAGAGAGCAAGAGATCGACTTTGTTGATGTATAATTCAAGGGATGATCTGCTGCTTTCTTCGATGGATTAATCGTCTGAGAGCTGAGTACTTTCTGCTCATGTGGATTCGAATAATGGACACCTATTTTAGAATATAATCGATTCTCTTCTTTTGAAATCGTCGTTGGACTGTAATCAAATAAAGGCATTAAACTTCCTAGTCCCTAAATAGAGATTCCAAGCATACCTTTTCCCAGTAACTACATTCATCGGATGAGATATCAATGCGTGATTGTTGAAATAATCGTTACGTTGATATGTTTGCTGCTTATTAGGTAAGGATATAGTTGTTTTTGTTTTCTTGTTGGGAGTTTTTTTTCTAGAAGAAATCTGAAATAAGTACATATCAACATTCACACCATTACGGGCATTTACCTGTACAAGAAAGACATAATAAAACAAAATATAAGTAATCCAAATGTGATACTACCTAAACTTGTTAACATTACGGTTGTAACAGGACCTAAGCACAAATAAAAAAACAACTAGATGATGTTGAACTCTAAGACATAAAACTGACTATGTGCCAAGTGATAACTAGGTAATGAGCTTTTCTCGTTACGTATGAATCGAGTTTCATTTCTTGATTGTATAGAACAAACGGTTCCTGACCATGGAAATAGACAATAACATGTTCCCAATGATGAACAAATCTTAAAAAATATTGAAAAATATAACAAAACATTATCACAACTCTTAAGATGTTTCTTACTCCATTTCCTGAACACATTCTATGATTTTCTCCCATTGGACATTGTTTTAAATCTTGCTGAACGCATTTATTATTTAAGCAAAAACTTGACAAACCACAAACACTTCCATCATTAACAAGTATGGAGTTTGTAGAACCGGATATACTCCTAAAACCACGCACAATACAATCTACTCTGTAAAACAATTATGAAATTTAAACATACTTGCACTCGTACGAAAGATCTTTTGTATTTACGAGAAATGTGATAAAATTATTCGTTGATATCTGAGGAATTTTTCTTCCACCTTCACAATGCAATAGACCACAGTGAACATCACTATTAAAGTAAAATAGTCATATGGTTCTTTTTATTCATAATGATTGTGAATCAATAGTGATGAAACGAACCTTTCAAAACAAGGTATATACTTGTCTAAGCGAGAATCATGACCGCAATGACCACTTATTGTTCCCGAAGGATTAAAATACGAATAACATGATTCATGAGCTTGTTTAGCACCTAAAAGCAAACTCCATCCGAATAATATATTAATACTTAGGAACGTATTATATGTATGACATATTTAAAACAGTTGAGGAAATAAGACTAAGGCAATATTTTTTCTTTAAAGTTGCCTACCCGAGCCCCAGATTTCTCTGCACTGATTTCCAACACATCGGCCATTGTGGCATGTTCCGATCCCTTCGTTACACGATGAGCCATCTAATACAGTGATATCTTCTGGACACTAGATACGAAAATGACCACAGTTGATAAAATATAATTCATTCTTCAATATAACGCTGTCATGTTTCAAGATTATTACCTGCGATGATGTTCCCGTGCAATGTTCGGGTAGATCACAATCATTTTTCGATGATCGACAAACAACTTCTGCTTTAATAAATTTACAAGCATCACAACATTCTCCTCCGAGACACTCTGCACCATCATAAAACAAACATGTTTTAGGATTACAACAAGCTTCAACTGTAATACAACTCTAGAAGACGTTAGTATGAAGTCAGCATGGTACACGTTCGTTATTGATCGTTTGTATTAACTTACATTGTTTCGTACTTGCACACCACAATCACAATCTTCACCTACTTCTACAATACCATTACCGCATATGGATGATGGTTTTGTTCTACGATGTTTTGAATGTAAACAATTTTTTAAACGTTCCGTATCGTTTTTTATGTTCGTACAGTCTCTATATATAAAACAGAGAGCATTCATCGGTACATTTTTTCACAATAAACTACGCTAAAACACTTACCGAAGCGGATTGTTTTTCATTTTTTTTATAGCCTCGAATTGTTTAATTTAATATCACCATCTAAAAAACAAACTCAAAACAGTTCTTCTTCTTTCTTTTTTCTCGTAAGAGCAAATGAATAAAAGAACAAAGAAACTGAAGCTCAACTGCACTATTATAAAATGTTAATCAATAATGTTTGTACCAGGCTACCGCATATTTGTTTTTTTGACCAACAAAATGAAAGAATAATAAACATACACAACGTAAAAATGTTTTTCTTTTCAGCTATTGAACCATGTAAGATTTCCTTATAAATATTTTTTGAGCATGGTCAGTTTTAATTTATTTACTGATATACCTAACTAACATGCAATGTATTATTCTACATATAGCATGTTTTAGTTCAATCACATTATATGGCGAAGAAAAAGAATGTTTCCATATGCGTGATTTTCTAATTAGTTAGTAAAAATAGAATGATAGATTCATTGTTAATTATAACATATTATACTACGCACGTGTCCTCAGAGACGAATAGGATTACGCAATATGAAGGAAGCATCATCATGTCTGTTGTTATAGTAGGAAATGAGAGTCGTTCGAAAAACACACTTTTAAATAGTTCATTCATTTGGAAACAGAACATGTTTCTCACATTCATGAGCAAAAAAATGGTTATCAGTATAGATAACCAGTAAATATTTTTGATCATATCACATAAAAATTTCTCTAGAAAAATAGGAAAATGACTACTTACTTTATCACATTATTTAGTTGCTGTTCAGCATACTGGCTAGAGTACATAATTGTCTATCATTGATTTTTTTTTATTCATACAAAAACTGTAGATCAGAGCATCTCGGATCAGTATTAGAGTAAAAAAGTTGGTCACTATAATTACCAGAATTTTAACAACAGAAATTTTCAAAATAGAATAAAAATATTCTATAGTTGAACTCTATTTTGTCTTATCTTTACTATACTTTATGTGTTGAGACTAAAAGAATAGATAAAAACTGAAATCACTTTACAAAAAAAGTTAATGTGAAGATGTGTGATGGTGCTATTAAAAAAAAAAAAAAAACGGATGATAAACATGCCTTTAGGTAATAATCTCTCTGGTCAAGAATTAATAATATTTTTCAACACACACACTAGTGCTCCCGTCATGTATACTATAATTAAACAGAGAGTGAAAAAAAGCATTACGTGACGTAGAACAAATGTTTCGATTACACAGTAGCACTAGTATGTTTTAATTACTTTTTTTTCTTCTTCTATGAACCTGTCTTTAAACATAAAAAAAAAAAAGGAATGTACAGTAGTCTCATAGACATGTATAGACACTAACGTAGAAAAAAAAGCATTTTTTTCACAAAATTAAAAAATATAATTAACACATGTACACAAAAATGATAGACTAAAAACCTTTATCTCCTTAGAGAATGACTAAGGAAATATGTGTCCGACGATCAATTAATTGAGTTTGCTGTTTTCACCTATCTTTCAGTTCTAAATATTACGAGCACGTTCATGCGAAAAAAATCAATTAGGCTAACCATTTTTCTGCTCTATTAAACTTCCAGTCCTTCTTAAATACTTACCAAAAGAGTATATAGTATAGTGTAAGTGTTCGAAGTATTAGTAACGTCGATTATTGTGTCTTTCGAATTCGGTCAGTTAGTTCCACACTATGTGGTCCGTTGTACTTTTATATTGAACTCCTCATCCATCTGTACATTTTTTTTTTTGTTCTAATTTATTTCCGACTGTCAGAGCTTTTTTTTTTGTCTCCTTCTGTTTCGATATAGAAACGCCCTTGGAAGTTGAAATTGCATTTGAAATAGAGAGTTTATGTGTAAGATTTTAATTTCATATAGCTAAGCTAATAATCTTCTCTTTTTTCAAAAAAAAACTTGTTCGATTAGTTGCTTGAGAGATAAAAAAAAAAATCGAGTAGATATATGCTTATCAATTTTTCTTTTTTTTCTCTTCAATACATGTCAACTTGAAAGTTGTCTGATTAGAAGAATAAAGGCAACACGATTAGAAAAACGCCTTGATGGAACACGTAGACTGAATGATTGACCATGTCTATATCTAATAATCGTACACACATATATAAATGTATGTATATATAGTAGACAATGGTACCGCAATATAACTCATTTAAAATAGAGGATGAACAAAGAATAGCCTTTGGCTTCTTTTTTCCTGTTAAACACCTGCATGAGTATTAAATTAGTAATTTAAGACGTTACAAGGCTAATGATTTCAAAAAAAAACATTAGGAACAATAAATTTTTCACTTTCAGATGGACTACAAAAAGAAATGTACCATCAACATATGCTGAAAGAACGATTATTTTAAAAAAACAAAGGATTAGAATAAATTCAGCCACAAGATTTTTTTAGATCGCTAAAAAACTACATGTTCAACAAACTAAATTTTTTTTTTTCTGTAAGTTTTATTTGCCTTTCCATACACTAAACTTCGATTTTAGTTTCATTCCACTAATCATGAAGTGAATTTTTGTTGAATTTTATTTGTAATCTCGATATTCCGTTTCAAATTTTGCATCTCTAAAATAGTATCACCTTAATAGATCGAGAAAAATGATTGATATAAGTAATTTGACCGTATTTTAGAGTCAGTATTGTCACATAGTCTACATGGATGAATAAACCGATGCTGCGTTCAAACACAAGCTGATCTCGAAATTGTAATGAAAAATGAGATGACTATCATGACAGTAATAATCAACATGTATACAATTATGTTGAGTTTAAAGTCAGAAAAATTGAGCAATATGAGAAAGCCAAGGTTAGATAGAACAAGTATGTTGTATATGATCAACAATATATCTAGGAGCTGATCTGTTTTCACTAAAATGATGAGTTAACAAAAAGAAATCGCTACAAATTAGGATAGACAAACTGAGTTTTGTATCGTTCACAACTGCCAGAATTTGAAATATCAATGGAACTGAAAGATGCAGATAATTGAAAAACGTCCTATAAATAATAAAGTCCCTATAAACAGGATTTTTATATTTAAGTTTAAACTCATTAGTTCATACGAAAAAAACAAAAAATATATCTCATGGGTTGTCTACAGTATCCATCATTAGTTTATTTTCAAGTGATATTTCAGTGTACTTTTTTGACACTAAGGTGTCCGTGTTTTTCGCATTTATTGTCTGGTGCTGTTTGTGTAAATAACACTATTCTATCATGTTTTAAATCATACTTAGTTTTAATTCCCTTCGTGTACATGTCAGAATAAAAGTGGCGAAAAGTTGACGGTTTTTACCTGACGCTTTTTTTTCTCATCTTAGTGTGCATTTTTTTGAACCTTTTTTTTGATTGTAGATCTTTTTCATATGTATTTTCAGTTGACGCTTTTTTTAGTATCATTTTGTGAGCGTTTTCCACTTGACGCTTTATTCGACCCGTTTTTTATCGTATAGCGGGATTGTAAATTCCACTTACATACCCAGTCCTAGATCAATGGTACTTGATGATATTTTTTAAGTATATTTTTAAGTTCCGCTTGCTAGGGACATTCTGTACCTAACACAGATTTTTGTACACAAAAGTTTTCAAAAAGAAAGCCTAAATATATATAATTAAACTGAAATTAATAACCCTATGCAGTTTTAATCGGTAAGGGAACTTTCATCCAATGAATATGTGTCGGTCAAACCCGATTGATTTTATAGGTTGTCTTGTCGTAAGTTCCCTGTAAATAACAGCTTTGTGCAGAATAACGAAAAGGACAAGAAGATCAGATTAATCAGCTCCGCTAGAAGGAAGCCAGTAATTCGATGGCTGACAACTACAAACGGATGACTCCCATTGATGGCCACGATTTTCACAGATTTTTTGTGTGAATCCTCGAGTTCTAAAGACATTCTAATCTGAAATAAACTTCGCTTCACGTCATACCTAAGTAAAGAAAGACCTGTCGAAAAATCAGTTTGAACCAGCTTTACACTTTTTCCTGAAAACTTTCGCTTTGTCATCGAAAAATTTTAAAAGCTTCTTCGGTCAAAAACGATTGCAGATTCGTCTCCACCCCGATCCGAAAGTACGTTTTGCAAGATAAGCTAATTCGAAATAGGGTTTGTTCATCAAGACGACCGCTCGTGATGAACAGCTATTATCGGCTGTTATGACAACACACAGTGAGCATTCAGGCCTTCTTTTATCAAAAAAACGCAAGTTTCATTTTTCACGTTTTAAATGGTGGTTTCTACACTTCGAACAACGATCGATATGATGGCGAAAGAACTTTTGTTCTACGACTTTTCCTTCATGAAAAATTTACATATCGAAAACTCCGGTTAAAACTGACGGTTTACTAGGAAAATCCAAATTTTTCGTAAATGAAATGTAGTGAAAACAAAAATGACTACATATTCTTAAAGTCCTCGAAATGAGCTATCTAAACGTATGAAAAAAGGTTCAAAAATAATTATAATTAGTGGCAGAAAAAAACTTTTATTAATATAACTCGAATGAAAAACATAGTCTACAGTAAAATGCCAGCACTGAAGCGCGCTAAAGTCTAATCCAGATGATTTTTTTATTAAAATGTTCCTTGACACATGCTGAATCAATGGTGATCTCTCAAAATCTCTCAATTCATTCCTTGAGGATTTATGGGTGTTCTAAAAAATTTTAGCTTTTGAAGTATTATTGAATTTTTTCGTCTTCCGAAAAACTTTATGGAAACAATATATACATAGTCAGAATCAGCGTGAAAATCTGCATCGACTGATATATAGTTTGTTAGTTTTACAAATAAAACATTTCTTGACAAAAGTTCAGGGCATGGGCTAAGGAATATTTTGCCGAAAAAAATTTTTTTTCGAGTTCGATCCTTTTTTACTTCTACTAATATCTGACGCATAGTAAGAGGATATTATGCTAAGATAATCATTTTTTAACTCAAAAAACCAGACGTCCGCCTGTTCTATGGAAGAATGCTCACCGTGTAACAGCCGATAATAGCAGCTAAAAGAAGAATTGGTAA